AGGGAGACACAGAAGCCAAAGCAGTCTCCAGGCTCTGACCTGTCAGCACAGAGCCCGATGAGGGACTCGAGCTCATGAACCATGAGATCTTAACCTGAGCTAAAGTCGGATGCTTAACCAACTGAGCCATCCAGGGGCCCTTACGTGACAAGGATTTTAAAGCAGCCAGTATAAAAATGTTTCAGTGATCAATTACAAACACACTTCAAACAAACAAACAAACAAACAAAAAACAAAAAGTTTTGGCAAAAAAATAAAAGAAATGAAGAAGAACCCAACTGGAATTTTAGAACTGAAAAAAAGTAACTGAAGTAAAAAGCTCACTGGATTAGTTCTATAGTAAAATGGAGAGGATGAAGGAAAGAATCAATGAACTTGAAGACAGAATAATAGAAATCACCCAATATGAACGACAGAGAATAGATTGAAAAAAATTAATAGAACCTCAGGAATTTGTGGGACTTTAAGAAAACATCTAATATTTCTGTCACTGGGATCCCAAAAGTAGAGGAGAAAGGAGGTAGAGCTTTAATGTTTATTTCTTTTTGAGAGACAGAGAGAAACAGAGTGCGAGTGGGGGAGGGGCAGAGAGAGAGGGAGACAGAATTGGAAGCAGGCTCCAGGGTCTGAGCTGTCAGCACAGAGCCTGATGCAGGGCTCAAACCCACAAATCGTGAGATCATGACCTGAGCCAAAGTTGGACGCTTAACCGACTGAGCCACCCAGGTGGCCCAAGAAGATGGAACTTTAAAAGTATTCAAATAAATGTGGCTGGATATTTTCCAAATATGGCAAAAACCTGAACCTATAGATTCAAGAAGCTGATCAAATCCCAAACAAGATAACCCAAAGATATCCTTGCCAAGATACATCATACTCAAACTGCTGAAAACTAAAGACAAAGACAAAATCTTGAAAGTGGCCAGAGAGAAATGACACCTTCCCTATAAGGAGAAAAACAATCTGAATGACACCAGCTTTCTCACTGGAAGCCTCAGAGGTCAGAAGAAAGTGGCACCACATTTTCAAGTGCTGAAAGAAAAGAATTGTCAACGCAAAATCCTATATCCAGTGAAAATCAGGAAGGAAGAAGAAATGAAGACATTCTCAGACAAAGAAAGATGATGAGAATTTGTCAACAGCAGACCTAACCTCAAAAAATAGCTACGGGAAGTTTTTGAAAGAGAAAATAAATGATTAAGAAAAGAATCTTGGGACATCAGGAAAAAAGAACTAAAATGCAAAAACAAGTCAATAAAAATGTTTTCCTTCTCCTCTTGAGTGGCATCTGATAGTTTAGTGGTTGTGTGCCAGATAAATTAGGGGAGTTGATAAGTATGGTGATAATTTCTCCTTCAAGCAACTGCACAATGGAAAGGAGAAATGGAGTGACTGCTGGCCAGGAGGAGGGATTCTGTGGCTCCTACAATTTCCTCTTTCCTCAGAAGAACAAAGCTCACCTGGCCCAGTCTAGGGTTCCCTCTCCCACACACTCATGCATTGTCTGATATGGTTCTCAATTAATGCAGAGGAAATATTTAAGACGATTACAAACAGGGGCAGGTAAAGGGACCTGAAGGGAAGAAAGTTTTGACACCTCACTGAAACCAGTAATGTGAACACAAGGAGAACTGAGATAAATTATGTACATACAACATTATACCGAGTACCTACTAAATATCTATACAAAGAAACACTCTCTATACATCAAAAATAAGTCAAAACGAACGTCTACTTACAATGACCAGTGGAGAATAGATTAGATTAGTCAGGTGTTAGGGCTGCTGGCGGAAGGGGAATGGGTAGTCTCTAAAGAGGGAGCCAAGGGAGATCTTAAAGGTAAGAGTTTTGTATCCTGATTGCAGTGGTGTTTACACAGATCTATACATGTGATAAAGTGGCAAAGAACTATACACACAAGCTGTACCAATGTCAAGTTCTTGGTTTGATATTGTATCTCAATTCCCTAAGATATATCCATTGGGGGAAATTGTAGAGAAGGCCCAAAAAACACTCCGTACTACTCTTACAACTTCCTGTGAATCTATAATTATCCCAAGATAAAAGTTTTTTAAAAATTTAACATAAAAAATTGGGGCACCTGGGTGGCTCAAGTTAGTTAAGCATCTGACTCTTGATTTTGGCTCAGGTCATGATTTCACAGTTCGTGAGATGGAGCCCCAAGTTGGGCTCCATGCTGACAGCACAGAGCCTGCTTGGGATTCTCCCTCTCCCCCTCTTTCTGCTGCTCCCTGTGCACGTGTGTGCACGTGTGCTCTCTCTCTCTCAAAATAAATTAAGCATTGAAAAAAATTAACATAAAAATGAAGTAAAAAAAAGTTTATGCAATGATTAAAGTTAATTTTCCATCTTGCTTATTCCCCCAGTCTCACTGAAATGTAATTCACATATAACACTATGTAAGTTTAAGGTATACAGCGTAATGACTTTCCTTACATACAATGCAAATGATTACCACAGTGAGTTAACATTCATCATCCCATATGGATTTTAAAAAAGACCTTTTTACTTATGAAGAGAGCTCTTAAAATCCACTCTTTTTAACAAGTTTCAATATACTATACAGCAGTGTTAACCATAGTCATTCGTCATTGCGTTCTACATTATATCCCCCGTGCTTATTTATTTTATAACTGGAAGTCTCTACCTTTTGACCACCTTCATCCAATTCAACCCTCCCCCTCCCCACCTCCCACCTGTGGTTGCCACAAATCTGATCTCTATGAGCTTGGTTCTTTGTTTTGATTCCATATGTAAGTGAGATCATGCAGTATTTGTCGTTCTCTGCCTTACTTATTTTCATTTAGCATAATCCCCTCTAGGATCATCTGTGTTGTCTCAAATGGCAGGATTTATTGCTGAATGTTTCATTGTGTATATAGATACCACAACTTCTTTATCCATTCACACATCAGTGGGCACCTAGGTTGTTTCTAGGCCTTGGTCATTATAAATAATGCTATGAACATGAAGGTGCGGATATCTCTTGGGCACAGCGTTTTCATTTCCTTTGGATATATACCCAGAAGTGGAATAGCTTTCCAACTGGCTTATTGGAAATTTGCACTCTGCACTCTCACCAACAGTGCACAAGGGGTCCCTTTTCTCCACATCCCCGCAGCCTTTATCTACTATCTTGTTTTTAAAAAAGAATACTCTTCATTACAAAAATCATCACTGAAAATATATGTTTATGCCTAGATTTCATATAAAAGTCTATGTATTTTCAACTAGCATTTTGTTTTGTATTGGGAAAATGAGCCAAATTATATTTTTTGAGGATCTATTTATTATACAGGCCCTGGTCAAAAGGAGAATTCAAATATAAACTAAACAGGGCTCTGTCCTCAAGGAACTTACAGCCCAGAGAATCAAGGCACAAATGCAGGAAAACCCTAATAACTTGAGTTAGACAACACAGCCCTCTATAGCAGACACGCTGGCCAAAGACAGCATGTCCTACAAGTTCTGAAGGCAGGCTTCTGTGGGCCAGGTCTTGAAAAGGCCTCTCTGGAGGCGGATAACCTTGACGTGGGCTTTGAAAGGTGGAGCTGGTGGAGACAGAGATTCAAGCAGTAAGGGAATAACTTAGATGGGGAAAGTGAGAGACACATTTGGGGGCCTGTGGACTGGTAGGACAAGACATTCTGGGTTCAGTAGGGAGTTCCTAGAAAGCAGACTGCAGCTGGGTGCATATGTCTGGGCAGGAAAGGGCTAAAAGGGAGTGCAGAGACCAGTTGAGTGGATGTGTGCAGGACAGATCAGGGAAGTTGATAAGCACAGTTGTAATTCCTGTAATTCAGACAACTGCGTAAACAAAAATGGGAAATGAAGTGACTGCTGGTTGGGGGGAGCAACTCTGGGATCCCCAGCATTTCCTCTTTCCTCAGATCAAACCGTACCAGGCTCGTTCCAGTGTCCTCTATCCTAAGCACTCATGCATTAATTCAACCTGCAACCACATAACCCTGAGGTCCTGAGGGTGGACCAAGTCCAAGGACCCATGAGATAAGTCTCATGTGGTCTCTGCTATATTTGGTTCTTCTGACTGAGTATTCATAAGTGAAAATGAATGTGTTTCAAGATCAACACCTTCATCCACTTCATTACCTCCTTCTAGGGTAGCACTATCCAACAGAAACCATGTATTTTTTAATTCTCTAGTAACCACGTTAAAAAAGTAAAAAGAAACAGATGAAATTAATTTGCCCCACCCCAGACCTACTTCATCAGATTCCGCACTTTTAACAGGATCTCCAGATGATCCACAGACACAAAAAAATGGAAAAGTTCTGCTTCAACCATTAAAAGAAGATACAGGGTATGTAGCATTTTGGCTACTCAATATCAACTTTTCCCTAGTCATCCAGGTTCCATGCCATGATTTCACCCAGTCCTAGCTCCAGAGATCTAAGCCACGCAGCACTTCTCTTTGATGCTAAGCACTGCGGTTGGTTCAGGCATTTCATGTGACCCAGTGTACGAAAAGTACAGCATGGGGGGTACAGTCAATAATACCGTAATAATACTGTATGGTGACAGATGGTAACCCTACTTACTGTGGTGAGCAGTAATGTATAGAATTGTTGAAAAAAAAATAGGATTCCAGAATCGAGCTGCTCATGTATATGAGGAAGGCATGGATAACCTCCTTGCTGTGGCGAAATGGGACCCTGGCAGTCCATAACAGGCAGTGTCCTCACAAATAAGCACATTATCATGGCAGTGGCCTGGGATAAAGCGCAGGTGGAAAAGGATAAGGACATGAGGAGGGGTGCCTGGGTGGCTCAGTCGGTTGAGCGTCCGACTCTTGATTTCAGCTCAGGTCATGATCCCAGAGTCATGGGATTGAGCCCCATGTCGAGCTCCAAGCTGAGCATGGAGACTGCTTAAGATTCTCTCTCTCTCTCTCTCTCTCTCTCTCTCTCTCTCTGCCCCTTTCCCCAGCTTGCGTGCTCTCGCTTTCTCTCTCTAAAAAAAAAAAAAGACCTGAGGAGATTCAACCAACTTGAAGTAGCTATCATGAACTGTGTATTATCTAGTCCAGTGAGCCATACAATTGGAGAGGCACAACGGCCTCCCACTATAAAGTGGAAATGGTATATACTGGGTAGATGCAAAGGCATAGTGTACTGCCTGATTTCCCTGGTATCCAATGCCACTGCTTGACTGTATCTTCTTCAACATTCCACCTATATCCTCAGGGGAAACAAAAAAGGTCAGTTAGTGGAGGAAAGGAAAGTGCAGGCTTCTTACAGGAGCAGCCAGAAGCGTGGCAGCACAGCCCGCTCTGGAGTGGCTCCAAAAGCCTGTAGAGAAGGGACGTTCTCCAGTGAGCAGAGCTCTACTGCACGTCTAGTGAATGCACAGATCTAACCTGACTTGGGGGTTAGCCTGGCCCACTGGCCAGGAATTTGGAAAGAACAAGATTAGAAGGCTGGGGACAAGGAGGTCGAAAGAAAGACGGACTTCTTGCGATCCACAAAGTATATTCATGTTCCATATAAATGCCCACCCAAGGGCATCTGTTGTAGATGAGACTCTCAATAATCAGGACAAGATGACACAATCTGCGAACATCAGATGGCCTCTTCCTCGGATACTCTCTAGTGCTTGGTTAATAGATCCATTTGCAAAGCGGCCACGGTGACGAAAGGAGACAGACTTGCTCTCACCAAGCTGTTCTGGCCATTGCCAACACTGTCTTTGGGGGCGGTGGGTGCGTATTTTAACTAAAAATTCAAAAATGTTGATATAACTTTATGTGCCTTATCTATTCCTTCAGAAATGAGTTTTGATAGTTTGTGCCTTTCAAGAAATGCATCCATTTCATTTAAGTTGTTAAATATATTGGCATTAAGTTGTTCATAATATTCCTAAACTACCCTTTCAATATCTAAAAACTGTGATGTCATCTCTCTCATTCCTGATACTGGTAATTTGTGTTTTCTCTACTTTTTCCCGATTAGTCTGACTACTAGTTTAACAACTGTATAGATTTTTTTCTCAAAGAATCAGTTTTTGGTTCCATGGCTTTTTTCTTCTTTTTTGTTTAGTATTTCACTGAATTTCACTCTGGTTGTCATTTCTTTTCTTCTGTTCACCTTGAGTTCAAGTTTACTCTTTTCTTTCTTTGATTTATGTTTTCTTTTTTTTTTTTAGAGAGGGGCACCTGGGTGGTTCAGTCAATTGAATGGAGTGGGGTGACCCTCCTCACTGTTACATCAAATGAACTTTGTATAAAGGAATTTTTGTGCTTCTCATCTCTGCAAACTTGGGCTCAGTGGGTCTGGAGGTCCTAGTGCCAAAGAGAAGGATGCTTCCACCGAGGAACACATTCATGGTTCCGTTAAACCAGAAGAAACTGCCTCCTGACTGATACACATTGTAGCAGAAATTGTCCTCCGAATCTAGCTTCCCTTCCTTTCCTTACGAATAGAATTCCAGAGTTTTAACTGGAGTTACTATGGCCACCGTGCCGAAGATCACAGATTAGGTTATAATTCAGAAGACATTTATTCCTTCCTTTCTCTCCTCTCTTCGTGAGAGTCTACTTTCTGCCCTACTGACGCTGAGCTCGGGTATGTGACTTATGCTGGCCGTTGGGATGTCAGCAGACAGGATCCAAGCAAAGGCGCGAAATGTGCTTGCGAAGTTGTCGGGCTCGACTTTCGTCTTGCCATTCCGATTCTAGACAGGTAAGTACAGAAGTAAAAGGGTTCAGACCTGTGCCAGGTCACCAATCTTGCTCTACGGCAACCTTTGCCACGGAGCTTCTAACCTATGTACGTGACCTACCAAGGCCTAGGGATGCTGCCATTATCATGAAAGTCATTAGCATAAGGAGCACATGCCCTGGGCAGCTTGCTGGTGGCAAGAGGACGAGAGAAACATGGAACAGATCAGAAGGCAAGCCGCAGCCGGGAGCCACGTCCAGCTGAATCCCACACAGACCAGCCAAACACCAGCTCCACTGTAGACACGTGAACAAGGAGTAACTGCTCACACTGATATTTTGTGGTTGTTTGTTACAAAGCATTTTTGTGGCCACGGCTAACTGAGACCCTAGGTGTGGCCACGTGACTATGTTTTGGGCATCAGGATGGAAGAGTAAGCTATTGATGCAACTTTTGGTTCATGACCTTAATAGAAAGGTGTGTGCCCTCTACTTTGCCTCGACTTCATGCTGCAGGGATGCGGGTGTGGCGGCGGGGGCTAAGAGCTGCATGTTAAGGATGGTATAGACACAAGACGGGCCGGGGCCTGGGACCTTAACACTATGGCGTTGACCTATCACTGTAGGACTGCTTAAGGCTTTTATGTCAGAAAGAAACAAATTTTTATTTTGGTTATTGTCATAGCAAAAACAGTAGGCTATTATTATAGCCTAATGTAATTATAGCCCGATGTAGTTTGAGCTTTCTGTCACTAGCAACAAAGAGCTCCTGAGAAAATGGATTTGTTGCAAGCCCCCTGCAGTGTTCATCCAAACCACAGTCCCATGATGTCTGCTGATGGGCCCCTCCTTGCTCTATTGTGGGTCCTGCCCACTCTGCTGTTGAACACTTGGCCCACGGTCTGCCTTGGATCACTACTGCTCCTGTCACAAAGGCCCCCTTCTCCCGTTTCACTGCTAGCTGTGACGGTGTATCTGGCTTGACTGAAGGGCTGACTATAACTGGACACTATAAATGCCTGCCCTATAGTTTAAAGCACAAGAAAAGTTAAAGCAGGGATGCATGTTTATTCACCCTGTGAGTTGGGGGTGCAAAGACAATGGAACTTCTTTGTTTTCTATAATCTTTCCCATAAGCCCCTGCTCTGCCAGGTGGGAAGGGGAGATTTAGATTTGCCAGTAGATAATAGATGAGATCAGTTTGGTTCAAACAGTGTCTTTGGAGGTAACCTGGTCTCTCTCTCTTTTTTTTTAATGTTTATTTTTGAGAGAGCGAGACAGAGACAGAGCGCGAGTGGGGGAGGGGCAGAGAGGGAGAGAGAGACGGAGGCACAGAAACCGAAGCAGGTTCCAGGTGGTCAAAAGAGAACCGGATGCAGGGCTCGAACCCACGAACTGTGAGATCATGACCTGAGCCGTGAGATCATGACCTAAGCTAAAGCCAGTCACTTAATCGACTGAGCCACCCCGGCACGCTTCACCTGGTCTCTCTTAAGTAAATGCTGTTTCTCTCCCCCCTTCCCCCCACTTTTTCAGGTGGCATCTGGGAGTATGGGAAAGGAAAAGCACAAACATGACTTTGTGGCAGAAGGAAAGGGTTGCCTTGGATCCCTGTGAGCAGGTCCTTGCACTGTCCTCTGGTTCTGCCACGAACACTGGGTCTGATTCCTGAGTTCCTAGAATTACCTGCTGAGATGCAGTGGGCCTAGTCTGGTCTTGGGAGTGTGATGCCAGCACACAGAGCTAAAGTCCACGGTCCCAACCATTCGCCTTCTGCCACAAAGTCCTACCTGTGCAGCCTTTTCATTCCAACTCTCTATGCAAGCCTCTACGACACTTCCTCATGCCTTCATAGGGCACACAGAAGCTTTTGATCTCCCGCAGAACAAGTATAGGCTGTGAGGGACTGGGTAAGGTATCCTGGTATTCTCTGGCCTAGATTCTGCCCTTCAGAATTGCTACTTTATTGTTCTTACAGTATTTCGGCCACGATGCAGAGCGAAGTACAAGGTTTCTTCTAGCAACCTGCAGCCTCCCTCATGCCATACCTGGGGAAGCGGTCCACAAGCCTCTGATCCTCTTGGGTTCTTTGTATTCTCTGTATCTGTCTTCTGTAGCTTCCCCTGGTCAAGATCTAGATGGATTGGGGAGATAGACGGGGAAATGAGAACCCTGGAGCCTGCCTGCCCTGCTTCCTTTCCCTCGTCTGCTTCTTCTGTCCACATGCCTGCAGGTGGGAAAACACAAATGTTACTTTTATTTCCTCTTCCTTCTTTCCAGGGCAGTGGCCCTCATGGCCTGGATATGACAGGTAGGTGAGTTTTCATCTCTACAGGATGGAAGGAACACCAGGCTCTGGGTGAGTCAGGCATGGCTTTTGATAGAAGGGCTGCAGGACAACTGTGAACTAGGGCCCTCAAAAGAATTATATTGATGGTCCATCCCTCAAATTTTACCATAAAAAAGTTAAGACACTCTGCTGGGGTGCTTTGTACAAACAGCCTAGTTGCTGGTTCTACTCTACTGACCTCAGGTCTGCCCGCTTCTCTTTTTCAAATAGTCCTTTCTATCCTTTCTACCTCCAGGGGTTATGGCACGAAGATCTGCTCTCTTACCCCAGGCAGTCTGTGGGCACACTCATCTGGCAGAACGTCTCCTACAGCCTGATTTACTTAATCTAGAAGAATACCACATTTGTGTGTGACCGAGCACATCCACTTGCTTCACCAGGACCATCCAAGGGGCTCTTGGCACTCCAGATTTGCTTCCTTCCAAGGTCTCCCTGCCGGCTGAAATTTTAGTAACACAACATGAACACCAGATGCACATTAACAGGTGAAGCTGCCCAACTCCTTCCTGAGAAATGTTTTTTTCTAGCTGCGACAGAGTCTATACAGCTCTACACCGATGGGTGTTCTTTCGACGTGTGGAGTTCCTCTTTGTTTCCCTACTTTCAGGCTGTTCCCCAAGGCTTATCAGGTGCACGGGAACTCACGAGGGCACCAACTAGTCTATGACAGCTACCACAATGCTACTTTTACTAGTTGGGTGGATTACATTCTTGGGCAGGGCACACTGAAGGGCAGGTTTATGTAATTATATGTAAGGGGTCAAGGTGGGTTTTATTATCTTCATGTCCGACTAGATACTCTATGGGAGGATGGCATGGGGAACTGGGTGGGGAGCTAACTGGATTAGCACTTACCTAACAGAGATCAAGTTACCCCCCAACGACTGAACCAGAAGAATCTGTTAATAGTAGGATAACACCTTCTCTGTCTGCTAGATGGGATGCTCAGAGCTTAGATTCTGCTCCAAGGTCATGCGGAGCCCTCCCTCTGTCATGGACTGCTGCCATTCACCAGGGAAGCAACACCAGTTCTGGGATCCAGGTCCTTTTGGACAATGAAAGACAACTTCCTCTTTAGGCAGACTGCTCACAGCTGTGCATATGGAGAATCGTTCATAAACGTCTGGGCACTGCATTTGATAGGGCACTTTTGTCCCCATATCTTAGTGTCCTGAATTTTCCAACTCAATGCCCAGGCAGTCAGGCAGGGCCCTCTCTAATTCTGGAAGACCTGAAGCCCGAATTCACTTTTTCAGCTTGGGTGCTGAGGCAAACAAGCCTTCACAATCCCTGGAGAATCAAAGAGAGAGCTTTCATTTCCTTCATCAGAGTTTGCAATTAGAAATGAAGCAGAAATGCCACGGGCAGCAAGGCGGAGGCAGTGGTGCCGCATGACGTCACGCACACGGTGGTGGAGACCTGTTTGTCCTGAGGACGCAGACCTGGGTCAGCCACGCAGCAGGCACTGGTCACTCTCCACACCCACACAAGGCTTTCTTACTCTAATTCCCACCGACTAATAAAGAACAGCTACCGCTTGTTGAGCACTTACAACAGGGCGGGTACCGGGCTGAGCATTTCCAGGAATTTCTGGAGCCAAGTTCCTCAGACTTTCTGAGTTGGTTTCCTCGTCTGTGAAAGTGGCATGAAAACCTCACAGGCCAGGGGCATTCACTTTCGAGTGTCCCCTTTCTGCAAAGAGATCTTTCCTATTTTCTTCCTTTCTGGTCTTATTTTCTAATAAACTTTGGCCTGCTGCTCAAAAAAACCAGAAAACAAAAAGAAAACAAAAAACCTCACAAGGCTCCATGAGGTATTTATATCCCTTAGCACACTGCCTGGCACTTAAATCTAATTGTTGCTCTAAAGATGTTATTGGGCTTTTTATCTGAATTTATATTAGAAAACTAGGTAGTCAAATTCCAGGCTGTCTGAAATCTCTTCAGGTCCTGAGTTCAGAGAGTGAGGGATACCAAGTTATCAGAAGATAAATAGGAGTATCAGGTTCCTGAGTTTAGTGAGAGATACCTGTATTTTCAAATGTTTTTATAAACTACACCCGCCCTCAGAGAATCCGACCCCACCCCCGCCCCCCACCTGGGGTTGAGAATTAAATGGCAAATGTCTTATTGCAAGTTTTCCCAAGAAGGAGAGAAATGTGGCTCTTCACAAATTTCTAAATTGCCATCATGCTGGCAGGGCTTACCGTGGGCAAAAAAGCAAAAAAAACCCACCAAACCCAGAACTCCGCAAAAGTCCTTGACTTCCTTTCTAGTGATAGGGTGGCCTTCACTCCTAATGGGTGACCTGTGACCTAATCTGAAATGCAGAATATTCACAGAAAGAGAAGACCATGGGTCCATAGCAGCACAGGCTAAGTGCCCAGAAATGGTTTGGGGGAGCTGGAAAGCGTACATGACTTCCCTCAGGCCTGGAATAATCTCCAAGCATTCAAAGCAGGGGAGGGCCGGGAGGGGGGACCATCAGCTGAAGCTGGCAGAGCCAGCAGGACTTCAGACAGGTGGAGGAGAAAAGAGGCCTTCCGGAAAAGAGGAGAAAAGGACCGGTCTGAGCAAAGCGGTGAAGGAAGGCAGAGTGAAACCAGGTTGAAGGGAGTGTTGGAAGTCCCCTCAGTTTGAAAGAAGAGAAGGGCAGATTGTGGGGTGCCCTAAACATCAGAACAGCCCGAGGCAGGAGAAACCAAACTTTTACACTTTGGAAGAGCACATGAACATATACGAATTGTGGAGCACTTGTGACCTGAACCTGGAAAGTCTTCCTTTTGTTCACACATCCTGGTTGTGTCCCTCTCCCTAGCCCTCGAGCCAGTCACCGTACTGGATTTTTTTTGTTTGCCTCCTTGCTCTTCGTAAGTATCAAATACAGAAAAGCTTATTCAATTATGCCTACTTTTGACCTTTTTGCGAGTGCAATCACAGTGTATGTATTGTTACTTTGTTTCTGTCGTTTTGGAGATTCATCCGAGTTTTTTATATAGCTGGAATAAGTACATTTCCACCGTGCCACATTAGAAACTAATCTCTGGCTCTCTGCTTGGAGGAGAGAGACCAGGGACAGTGTCCATTCTACGGATGTTTTTACGTTCCATTTGCGTGACTTCCTTTATTTCGTTATTACAAAGCATGGTGGCGTAAGTATTATTCGGTATGCTGCTTGGAATATATGTTCAAGAGTTTATTTACGATACGTACCAAGGAGTAGCACTGCCAGGGGAAGCACGGCTTCTGCTTTACTAGGGAATACCCACCTGCTTTCCAAAGAGGTTGCATCCGGTGACATTCCACCTAGCGAGGTCTGAGAGTTTCGGCGGCTCTTTATTTCGGCCAGCTCTTGGTATTCTCTGGCTTTTAAATGTTGCCCATCTGCTGAGGGTGAAATGGTATCTCATTTTAGTTTTTACGTGCATTTTCTTGATTACTAACGTGGCTGGGGTTTATATTTATGGGCCCCCAAAATACTGTTGTGGAACCAACCTTAATGAATTACTTTCAAGAATTTATATTGTTAGAGCTAGCAATTATTGGAATGTCCCGTTCTTATAGTTCTAACAACACACATAGAACAAGTGTCTTTTGCACCTCCAAACATCTCCCAGATCTTACTCTATACATTCACATACATGTATGTTATAGATTGAACGTTTGTGCCTCCCCAAGTTCATATATTGAAATCCTACTCCTAAATGTGCTATTAGGATTACCTTTGAAAGGTAATTAGGTCATAAGGGTGGAGCCCTCATGAATGGGATTAGAGCCTGCTCCTGCTCTCTGCCATACTAGCATATAATGAAGACAGCCACCTACAAGCCAGGAAGCAGGCTCTCACCAGGCATCAGATCCACCAGCACCTGGGTCTTGGACTTCCCAGACTCCAGAACTGTGAGAAAAAGATGTTTGTTGTTCAAACAAGCAGCCTATGGTAATTTGCTAGAGTAGCCCCAACTAAGTCAATGTTGAAATCTAATTTCTCTACAGGGTGCCTGGGTGGCTCAGTCGGTTAAGCATCCGACTTCAGCTCAGGCCATGATCTCAAGGTTCGTGGGTTCGAGCCCTGTGTGGAGCACCGTGGTGACAGCTCAGAGCCTGGAGCCTGCTTCAGATTCCGTATCCCTCTTCTGCTCCCTCTCTGTCTCTCTCTCTCAAAAATAAACATTAAAATTTTTTTTAAAAAAATAGCAGTAATTTATCTACAACTTGCTTGTTTACCTTCACTGAAGATCGTTCCATTCCAGTATGTACAGATGTACTTCATTCTTTCATGGTATGGATGACCCATAATTCCACCAGTCTCCTCTTTTTTAATTTATTTGAAGAGGTAATATTTGGATTTATAAAATCCAATGTGTACAAGAGTATAATCCTCCTACATCTCTTCCTCAGCAAGTCAGTAGCTCTGGCCTGGAGGCCACCAAAATTAGCAGTTGCAGCAGAGATTGGCCAGATGCTCATCATTCCCATTTCTTCCTCCTGAGCACATAGGAAGCCATGTCCCAGTTTGCTTGACTCAGGTTGGGGCCGGACAACTGGGTCAGACCAACACGACGTGGGAAGAAATAACTGACACCATTTCCAGCATTCACTACCTTTCGTGGTTTTCTCTCTCTTAGCTAACCAGCCGGCTGGATGCAGAGGGTCCAGGGGAGGAGTCCAAGGAGGCCCTAGAAGACGGTGCCACAAGACATTAGAAACTAAAATCTCTGGCTCTCTGCTTGGAGGAGAGAGACCAGGGACATCTGCATTGGACTTTACGTGAGAAGCTTTTGGGTTCAGCCAGCCAACTTTTAGGGTTGTAATTCCAGCTAGCATTAATTACACCAACACACATTTATGTAACCTGAGATGTTCACATAATATATACGAGCAATTGCCAATCTTCTATTAATGGACATGTAAATTGCTTCCAGTTTTCCCCTACCACAGTGATGCTACAATAAACATCCTAATGAGGTAGCCTTTTAGACATATTAAACCCTTAAGAGTAGTGTTGGAAATGGAGCAGGCACCTTGCAACTGGCTCGACCTCAGTCAAGTATTTCCCAACTTTTGCTTAATTCAGCTTGAGCTCATCAAGTTGGCTTGGTGCCAGCCGGGGTGACCCTCAAGCTACTCTCTGGCTCAGAATCTCACTTGATGCTAATTCTTTCTGCACAGACCGATTTTTTTTTTTTCCTACAGTAACGTTTGCACCTACTTATTTCTTACAGGCTCTGAGTGCCTGTCCCTTTGGACATTTATTTCCTGGGTTTGCCAAAATAGCAGCTTCTCACCAGGCTACACACTCCTAGCTTGTGCATGTCTCCTGTACTCTCATGCTCCATCTATTTATTCAACACGACACCCTAATATGTGCCTGTGTGTGTGTGTGTGTGTGTGTGTGCGGGGGGGGGGGGGCGCTGTTCCAGGTACGAGAGGAAGCACACCTAAATAAGGTATGAGTATTGTCCCCTCTCATAACAAGAGATGACATTATTCTACCTGTGACATGTGATAAGGGACAGATGAAGTGGGGGGCAGATTCCACGGACACGGAACTGCTTAGAAAATTGGTTTATAACAAAGACATAAAATTGTGCTTTTCTTTATATTTAGGTTACTTATGTAGGGCACACATTAATTTCAAGACTTCAAAATTTTTCTTTCATTAAAGGAGCCTACAAAACTTGATTACAGCTGCAATTACCACTTCAAGGCATCACTAAGTCTTGAAATCAGTCTTTTTTTCCCTCCACCCTGCAGGTGCTAAAAGCAGAGCACAATGCTGGTGAGCTGCTTAACGGCAACAAAGAATGAAAGGGAAGTGTCAATATACTTTCCCTCTAGGTTTCTCAGTCCAGGCAGTGATTCTCAACTTTTGCGTTTACACACTGTAGTAGATGCTGTCTATACCTGGCTCATATCCTTCAGGCCTACCCCAGAGTTTGCTTTCAGAGCATTCTAGTACATGAGGAAGATTGCCTGTGAATGTTGCTCAAGTGCATTCTCTGACTTTAGGAACGTGCTTTTCCCAGCACTGAGTTAGGTACAAGTTCAGGACCATTAACTAATCCTCAAGAGAGAAAGGAGGGGCACCTGGGTGGCTCAATAGGTTGAGTGTCTGACGTCAGCTCAGGTCATGATCTCGTGGTTGGTAGGTTCAAGCCCCACATCAGGCTCAGTGCTGTCGGTGCAGAGCTCACTTGGAATTATCTGTCCCCTTTGGCTCTGCCCCTCCCCTGCTCACATTCTCTCTCTCTCAAATAAACATTAAAAATAAATAACTGGTTTCCTCTCAGTTTTCTCATAGAGGGTGTTCTCCAAACTCCTTAAGTGTGCTGTAGCATGGTATATAGATGGTCCCCAACTTACAATGGATCAATTTATACTTTTTAGACTTCATGATGGTACAAAAGTGATACGAATTCAGTAGAAACTGTACCTAAAACTTTGAATTTGGCTCTTTTCCCAGGTTAGTGCTATGCGGGACAATCCTTTCCCATGAGGCTGGGCAGTGGCAGGTGCTACAGCTCCTGGTCAACCACGTGATCACCAGGGTCAACCATACTTAAACCATACTGTTCCCATACAGCTATTGGGTTTTTTTTTTAACGTTTTAAACATTAAAAGAGAGAGAGAGAGAGAGAGAGAGAGAGAGAGCGCGTGCACGAGCTAGGGGAGGGGCAGAGAGGGACACACAGAATCAGAAGCAGGCTCCAGGCTCTGAGCTGTTAGCACAGAGCCCCATGCGGGGCTCGAACTTGTGAACTGTGATATCAGGACTTGAGCTGAAGCCGAATGCTTAACTGAGCCACCCAGTCGTCCCTAGCCATTCTGTTTTTTACTTTTAGTACAGTATTCAATCAATTACATGATATAGTCAATAATTCGTTACAAAACAGGCTTTATGTTAGATGATTTTGCCCAACTGTAGGTGAATGTAAATGTGCTGAGCACGTTAAAGGTAGGCCAGGCTAAGCTATGATGTTTGCATTGGCCTTTTCTGCATTGTCCTTTGTAACATAATTGTCTATGTATTTGCTTGGTTGTTTACTATTTCTCTTGGACTATACCTCCACGAAAACAGGAAGTCACTTTGTTTACCTCTGTCTACCAGTGTTTACGACAGCACTCTCACATGGAAGATACTCTATAAGCGGAGAAAGAGGTCGAGGTTTGGGCTCCTGGCCTCAAACAGCCACCAATTCTTTGCTCATTAAACGCGTGGAATCTTAACCTCTACGAGGCCACATGGGAAAGCCCAGGAGACAGGCAAAATGACCACATCTACACAGCAGATCCCGGCTCAACTAAACCGTGTGTGTGGGGAAGGTAGAAGAGAACCCATTAATGAATGCAAGAATGTGGGGCAATGAGTATACTGAATTTTCACTATTAGGTTAGCAGCTCCTTTCTATTGGGGAACGGGGAATGAGAAAGGTGGCCAAAATCTCTCCCAGGAGTGTATACTATTCTGCATGTAATTTCAAGAGAGTAAAACAGAAAAAAACAAAAACAAAAAACTAGAAACTTCTGAAGCCCGTCCATGGTCCACACAGGTCAACAATCCTAGGTTAAGAATCTATGGTTATGCATCATTCTATTGACACAAACCTTGATCTCTCTAATCTTTACCATCAGGTTTAGCTCTTATCTGATGTATTTAATCATCATCCCTCTTCTCCCTGCAAAAAGAAAGACAACACACGGCAGTAAAGGTGTCAGTAGTAATGGCAGAAACCAGTTTCTACAGCAAGGCCTGGGTTCTTTCAAACTTGGGAAATGGCCCCTCGGCTGTAACCAGAATAGTCTAGGTTCTCAACTCCCACCTGTTGGAATCACGTTACCTTTACGAGGTCCGGTACGAATGCTACCTCCTTCATGAAACGTCCTCCAGTCCCACCAACCAGGTGTAAACCTAACAGTTCCATTTCCGCAACCCCTAGTTGACTACTTTCGGGGTCGGTGGCCCTCCTCCCACAGAGCTCAGCACGGGCTTCCAGGGCCTGGCAGGGCCTGGGTGAAGGTCTCTTCCTTAACGACTACTATTGGGTCTGAAATATGTCCAAGAGGGAACGGTTTCGCACCCAGCCCCAAACATGCTGAACCTCTTTTTTTCATTTTGCCGAGCGCGATCAGTTTTCACCTCAAGAACTTCCCCAGTGGACCTACGTGGTCAACCAGAGAAAACTGAAATTCAGGGAGGTGACACAAAAGTCAAGGCCCTTGAAACGACGCCAAACCAAATGGGCCGAATTTCACTTGCTTAATGGCCCAAGCCGCGGCAGGGGGAAAAAAGCCCAACTCTTCGAGGCCCCCAAGATGGGTGGTCATTTGAGCTCTGGACCCAATGTTGAGAATGGGCAGGAACTCCCCACCCAGCCCAACAAGGCTACAGAGAGGGCGGCGACAGAGGCTGCAGCGAGCACTTCCGCCTTGAAACAAGCGTCGTCAAACGGTAAGCTTCCCAGTTCCATTGCGTCCCGTAGCTCAAGGCCTTTTCAGCCCAGCAGGCAGGAGTCCACACCCCAAGGCTACCTCACCCAACAGCACCCTCCACCTTCTCCACACCCTGCGGAGCCGTTCGCACGTCTCGAGGGTGTGACGGCTACGCCGTGACGTCACCCCGGAGAAAAGGGCAAACCGAGCAAGGAAGGCACTGGCGATCTTGAAGGAGTCCCGGCGCTGAGAAGCGCGTTGAGAGTCTGGAGGCGGGACTAACTTTGACCGACGTCCACTTCCACCCATTGCCTTTCTGATTCCTTCTCAAACAAACCAATAAATGCGACGACGGAGACGGCAACGTGCCCCAACCGCCAGGAGTGGCTCCGCCCCCCTCCGCTCGGTCGCCCTTTGGCCGCCATGATGAGTGTGGCTACCGCCTTTGTACTACTTTAGGCTCTCCTCTGACTGTCCGATACCCTCCCTAAACTCCTCCCTGAACTCCCTCCTAAGCATTTCTTGCCTCCCACTGTCAACTTCCACCTTTTCGGGATTCTTGCTAGCTCCGTGTATACGCAGCCACGCTTGAGATGGTGGCCGGAGGCGGGGCCGAGGCGGGGCCTTCCCGGCGCGGTGACGTCAGCGCGCTGCGTGTCGGCAGGTGGAGGGAGAAGGGAAAGTTTGGCCCGTGCGTGGGGCTAGGGTGGAGGGCGGGACAGAGGGGTTGGGCCCAGGCGAAAACCCTGTCGCTGCTGCAGCCGAGGCCGAGGCCGGGACCGGGACCTGGGGCGGGTGGGGAGTGCCGGACGCGGAGGAGCAAGAGGCGAGGTCCGCCGGAGCTTCGAGCCTCCGCCGCTCTGTCGAGCGGTGACCCCGCGCCCAGGCGCCGTCCGACCCGTGGCTGTTCCAGAGGCGGTTGGTGGGGGCGCGGCGGCGGCGGCGGCGGCGGCGGTTGGGGGTGGGGAGAGGCGCGGCGAGGAGACGAGAGAGGTCAGCGAGTTTGAGCTAGGATCGCGAGCCGCGCCGCCGTCATGTCCGAGGACTCGAGCGCCCTGCCCTGGTCCATCAACAGGGACGATTACGAGCTGCAGGAGGTGATCGGTGAGAGCTGGCGCGCCGCTGAGGGGGGAGGCGCCGCGCTGGGAGGCGGGTGACACGCGGGAACGTGGGGACCCGCGGGAGCTCGGGGAGCGCAGGACTCACAGATATTCGTGAGCGCTCATGGGGCTCGGGGTTTGTAGGGCGCGTGGGTGAGGCTCTGGGTTTGTGCAGCGCGTGCGAGGCGGGGAGGTTGGTTGGGCTGGGGTTTGAGGGGCTCAGGAGAGAGTTGGGTAGTGACAGATGTTTGAAGCTGAGCGATGCATGGGTCTGGGAGAGGAAGAAACGTGCAGGCGCGGACAGGCCCTAGGGAGGCTGTGCGAGAAATGATGGGCGAGTTGTGGGCACAGCCACCTACTTTGGCGATGGTGGGGTAGGGGTTTTAGTCCACTCCCGCGCTGGGTGAGCACCCTTGAGTGCCCACCAAGCGCCAAACATTGCTTAGGTGGAGCTGGGGATCCTCTCCAGGTGAAGCTGCAGGTACCGCACCGAGCAGCGTAGACACAACTTCCCACTGTTTGGGACTGACTTTCTGGTACACGTTGAATAACTCGGCAAATAAAAAGAATGACAAGGCTTGGCAAGTGCTAGGAAGGAAATAAACAAGATGTTCTGATGGAGAGTGACCCGGAGACCTAGTTAGGGTGATTTCAAGGAAAAGTCTTTTTTTCTGAGGCGTTGACATTTAAGTTGAGCCGCTGAAGGAGGAGAAGGAGTCTTAAGATGCCAGGGCAGATTTTTCCCTGCTGAGGGACGAGGAAGTGCAAAGGTCCTGAGGAGGGAAAGAGCTTGATGTGTTTCAGGACCCGGAGGCAAACTGGCAGGGATAGAAAGTGGACCTTCTCAGGCATGGTAAGGATTTTGGAATTTAAGTGTATTGGAGGGATTCAAGCAGAGACATGACATGATTCCACGGATCTGGCTTCTGTGTGTGGAGTAGATTTGAGGTCCAGGAATACCAGTTAGCAGAGACCAAAACTGGCACAAACATGGATTGTAATTCTCAGGCACAGTGATTGGGGGAGGGTGGGGACTTGGGATGAGGGAAGTGTTTGTTGGACAACAATAATCCAGTGACTTTAGAAATCAAAAGAGGGTGGGTTTAGCTAAACAGAAGCTCAATGTAACTGACATGAGCAGACCCCTATGTATTGGAGGAAGGAGATTGTCTACTTTGCCTAGATCAGCATCCTGTCCTAAAATTAGTTTTATAACAAAGACTGGCTGAAAACTCCTTAGCTGCCTTGGGGGTGTGAGTGTTTATTGCAATTTGTATTTTAGAGAAACTTTGTAATTTTTTTCTTTCTTTTTTTTTTTTTTTTTTTTTTTTTTTTTTGCCTTGTTGTTTCAGAACAAATCTGGGCTGAGTTTTAGCTGAAAGAAATCACATTTTTTTCCTTAAGCCACGCTGTGCCCCGTGCCCTTGCCGGGTCTTTGACATGTACTGGTTGGTTCTGAAGACAGCAGGCTAGGTCTCTGTCTTGATTGATTGTTTCTGGGTTCCTGAATCAGTTTCCTTTTTTTTTTTTTTTTTTTAAATTTTATTTCTTTTTGAGAGAGAGAACAGAGGGGCAGAGAGGGAGGGTGGGAGACCAAGGATCCCGAAGCCAGCTCTATGCTGGCAGCAGAGAGCCCGATGTGGGGCGCAAACTCACAAACTGTGAGATCACGACCTGAGCCAAAGTCTGATGCATAATGGCTTGAGCCACCCAGGCGCCCCCCTCAACCAGTTTCCTATTGAAGAAAGAGACTAAGTGGACAATTGGACAGCGGTACCTGAAAAGTGAAGAAAGGGTATCCCTGTCATTGTTTTAGAAGGAAACTTTTGCTTTCTTTTCTGGTAAGACTGACGTGTTTCTGGGATGAAGAGGCTTTGCTGTTGTGGTGGCCTAGGGCTCTAGAGATTTAGAGATTTATTAATTTGGAATTATCCTCAGACCAATAGGGTGTCTGTGAGTGGGCAAAAGGGAATCTCAGTCCTCCGGGTTAGGGTTAGTTTTCATCTCCTTTCTAAAGCACTCCATGGGTAAAAGGTTAAGAGCTCCAACGTGATTTGACCATCTTATGTTTCTTTTCTTTTTTTTTTTTCTTTTGAGAGAGAGAGCAGGGAGAGGGGCTGAGGGAGAGTGAGTGAGAGAGAGAGAGAGAGAGAGAGAGAGAGAGAAAGTGAGAATTGTCAGCAAAGTTCCACGCACAGTGCAGAGCCCGACACAGGCTTGATTGATCGTGACCTGAGCCGAAATCAAGAGTCAGACGGACGCTTAACCGACAGAGCTACCCAGGTGCCCCTTGGCCGTTTTATTTTTAAAAATAACTTTACTGGGGCACCTGGGTGGCTTGGTCGGTTAAGCGTCCGACTTCAGCTCAGGTCATGATCTCACGGTCCATGAGTTCGAGCCCCGCGTCGGGCTCTGTGCTGACAGCTCAGAGCCTGGAGCCTGTTTCGGATTCTGTGTCTCCCTCTCTCTCTGCCCCTCCTGTGTTCATGCTCTGTCTCTCTCTGTCTCAAAAATAAATAAACGTTAAAAAAAAAAATTAAAAAAAATAATTTTACTGGGGCACCTGGGTAGCTCAGTTGGTTAAGCATCCAGCTGCAGTCCAGGTCGGGTCATGATCTCAAGGTTCCTGAGTTTCAGCCTGCATCCAGCTCTCTGCTCTCAGTACAGAGCCTACTTCAGATCCTCTGACCCCCTCGCTCTGCCACTCCCCCTCGCTCGCTCCCACTCTCTCTCTCTCTTTCAAAAATAATAAACGGCTAAAAAAATAACTTTACCATTTTTTTTTTTAATTTTTTTTTTCAACGTTTATTTTTGGGACAGAGAGAGACAGAGCATGAACGGGGGAGGGGCAGAGAGAGAGGGAGACACAGAATCGGAAACAGGCTCCAGGCTCTGAGCCATCAGCCCAGAGCCCGACGCGGGGCTCGAACTCACGGACCGCGAGATCGTGACCTGGCTGAAGTCGGACGCTTAACCGACTGTGCCACCCAGGCGCCCCAACCATTTTATTTTTAAAAATAACCTTAAAAAATAATCTAATGCTATAAAATTCACCCATTTTTAAGTACAAAATTCAGTGGTTTTTAGAAGCTTGTGCCGTATGCCAGGAAGCATAATCCAGTTTTAGAATATTTTCCTCACCCAGTAGGATCCTTGTGCCTGTTTACAGTTAATCCCTGTTCCCACCCCTAACCCCAGGCAACCACAAACCTTTCTGTCTCTATAGGGTTGCCTTTTCTGGACATTTTGTGTAAATGAGATCATAATAACATACTGTCTTTTGCATTTGGCTTTTTCCACTCACCGTGATATTTTTTCATTTTTAAGAACAACTTGATTGGGTTAGAATTTATATACCATAAAATGCACCTGTATTAAGTGTACAGTCGTGTAATTTTTTAAGTAAATTTTCAGAGTTGTTCAGTCATCCCCACAATCCAATTTTAGAACATTTCCATCATTCCACAAAGATGCCTCATGTCGTTTGCAGTCACTCCCTGTTCCCACCCCCTGCCTCGGGCAACCACAGATCTACTTTCTCTGTCTCTATAGATTTGCCTTTTCTGGATATTTAATGTAAATATAACCCTATAATCTGTGGTCCTTTGTGTTGGTTTCTTTTACTTGGCATGGCGTTTCCTGAAGTTCCTCCATGTTGTAGCCTGTATCATTACATGATTCCTTCTTATTGGACACCTCTTGATGGCCATTGGGTTATTTCTGCTTTTCGGCTCTTTTGGAATAATGCTGTTACGAGCTTTCACTTATCAAATCTTCATATGAACATGTTTCATTTTCCTTGGGTGGAGTTTCTGGGTCATGTGGTAAATTTGTACTTAACTTTTATAAGAAACTGATTAAACCTTTTCGAAGTGACTGCATCATTTTTCATTCCCACCAACCCTGGGTGAGAGTTCCTGTTTCTCTTTATTTTTGTCAGCATTTGGTGTCTTAGATTATAGCCGTCCGGGTGGGTATGAAGTAGTATTTGGAGGTGGTTTTGCATTTCTTTCATGACTAACGATGTACTTATTCATTAGCTTTTCATCTGTCTCTGGTGAAATGTCCATTCGAATGTTTTGCCCAATTGGGTTGCCCATGGTTTGTTTTCTTATTGAGTTCTGGGGTGAGTTTTTGAAAACTTTCAAAAAGTTTTGAATTTCGGTAAAGTTTATTATTTTTTTTCTTTTATTGATCGTGTGTGCTTTTGATGGTGTATGTAGGAAATCTTTACTAATCCAACATCACAAGGATTTTTTTCCTATGTTTTCTTCTAAGCGTTTTAGCTATAGTTTTAGCTCTTACTTTTAGACCTCCAGGACATTTTGGGTTAATTTTTTTTTTTTTAATTTTTTTTTTTTCCAACGTTTATTTATTTTTGGGACAGAGAGAGACAGAGCATGAACGGGGGAGGGGCAGAGAGAGAGGGAGACACAGAATCGGAAACAGGCTCCAGGCTCTGAGCCATCAG